AACCAATCTGTCTTCAAGGTCTACTCACTATACTATTGAAATATTTCCCAAATCTGTCTACTTCTCTAAATCTACAATTGCCCCACTGAGCTACCATCAGTTTCATCTTTGACTTGGACTATTGCAACAGCCTTTCTCCCTCAATATCTCCTGCATTTATACACAATTTTTAGCCCTTACCATGGCATACAAGACCTTACAAATTTGTCTGCTGCCTATCTCTTCTACCTCGTCACTTGCTGCTATCTTCCTTGCTCACTGCACTTCAACCATATTTAAGCTTGGAGTATTTACATCAGAGCCTTAAACACACTAAGCTTGTTCCCTCTCACAGGGCATTGTTGATGTATTCTTTTCTGATGGAATGCTCTCTTCACAGATTTTGCATGGCTGGATCCTTCTCCTCTTTCAAGTCTCAATTCAACTATTCACCAAAATTCAACAATTAAACAAAAGGACTGCCTTGATCACCCTATTTAAAGTGACAATCCTCCTACCAATTGCAGTCACTCTCCATTACCTTTTTATTTTTATTACATCCCTAACTGAAAATACTTTATTCATTTATTTGTTCACTATCTATATTTCCATACTAAAATGTAAGTTCCGTAAGAGTAAGAGCCTTCTATATTTGGATCATTGCTGAATTCCCCAACACAGACATATAACAGGTCCTTAATAAAATGTGGATGAATGAATAATATTTCACTAACTTCTTTTAGTTCAATGTATCTTGAAATAGATCTAAAACAGCTAAGCTCATCAGTTCATTAATTCAACAAGCCTATATTTTGTGCCTACACTGTCCTAAGGACTAATAGACACAGATAAAGAACAGTTCTTACCTTCACGCTAGGTGGGAAGACAGGCATAAAGTCAATTAACTGTACTGCAGTGTGACAAGTACTGTAATAGGATGTAAAGTAAAATGTGGGCAAAAAGAAGATATCTATCAATATTGCTTCATGTGAGAGAACTTTATTGAAGAGATGATATTTAAATTAGCTTTAAAGTAGTAGGTAGACAAGCAAGTAACAAGTGGATAGAAGCATGTGTCAGTGAGAGGGGAAAACATGCTTAAAGGTAGAAAGAGTTATAAAGCAACAGACCAACTGTACTTTTTGTACATTGTTCAGCTGTCTTCCTAGAATTTTCTTCATTGTATTATTGGACTGGATTCATGTCTTCCTCTTATTTGGTTTATCTTTCATTTTATTGCGCTTAGTGCATGATACAGCTTGCGGATATAGAGAAGGAGAAAACTGACTAGTGAAATGTTTAGCTGAATTTCTTTAATTAACCTGATGATTACCCCTTGGTCCTCCCTGCTTTTTGTATTTGTCAACTCTGGACCTGAAAGATCTCAGGATCTATAGTTTTCATTATAGCATTTGACAAAAATGAATTAACTATCAAAAAAAGATGTACTAATTATATTCTGGTTAAAAGAGGCACATAAATGTTTTAAAAATATTTTCAATGACAAACACAATTAAGAAAAGTGTACAAATTAAAAGGGTTAAGATGGAATTTGGAGTGACTTATTTCCAGAAAATAGTGGTGAGTTAAGATTCTCTGCACGGTGTTCAGGTAATAGAAATTTATGATCAATCATTCAGCCTTGATAGACCAACAAGGGAAAATTAACAACTACAAGACAACAAAAAAAAGGAAACTCAGGGAAGGGGTTGAAGTATGCTGAGATGCTCAGCCTGGGGAAAGAGAAAATAGTGCTAATTAAGGTGAAATTTCTGTGGTATTCTTTCCAAAAATCCAAAATCTCACTCAAATCATAAGAAAATGGTATAGTTCCGGCTTGAGTCCGAAGGCCTGAGAACCAGGAGAGCCAATGATGTAAGATTCAGATGTTAATCTCATACAGAAACACTCTCACAGACATACCCCGAAATAACATTTTACCAAATATCTGGACACCCTGTGGTCCAGTCAAGTTTTCACATAATTATCATACTATTCCTTGGGGTTCTGGCTAAATTAGGCTAGTTCTAGGCTAGTTTCGATTTCCAAGGACATTCATAGATGGTCAGAGCCTGGCAACAGGAGGCTTTGGGCCTCGCTGCTACTTGTAGTCGGTAGGATAATATTATAGAGATTTTCAGTTATTGGACCTCAGTTGGTACCTGATGCAGTAGGTGAAGGGCCTAGCCTCTGAGCACTGAATAAGTTAGGCATGGGAATGGAGGTTGGGATGTGGACTTTTGCCAAAAGGGCCAGGGGGGTTGGTATATAAAATATATCCAAAACACGAAAGCAAAGGCCTTGTAATAAAGACTTGGAATATAGCAGGGATAAAGGAAGAAAGTGGTAAGTTCTCTATGTACATGGGTGTTTTAGTTAACTTAACAAAATAGATGATTTCTAAAAATATCAAATGTTTGAGTTTATAATTGTTTCAAGCACAGAAAAATAGTTTTGGCTATCTCTTCAACAATATATTGAATGATCCAAGATTGAATACACTTGGGAGGGCACAAAATGCTAAAAACAGCTGCCCACTTTAAAAGTTTAAATTGAACTTTTCCCAATTTTAATCTGAAGATAAATGTCAGATTTCCACATTGAGATAGGATAGAATCATTTGTGGCACAACAATTCTCCAGCCAAGAACAAGAAAAGCCAGATTAAATTTTTAAAAAATATCTGTTTAAGACATCAGAAGGTTGCTGCTGCAACAATAACTTGAGCAGCTGGGATTCTGAAGAGGGGTTAACTGGAGACAGGTGATTTGAAGATCTGAGGTCATTGTTTTCCCCCTGAGTTTTAAAGGTTCAGAGAATGGGCAAGAGGCTGAGAAATCCGGCTTTGACTATACAGAGGGCTCCTGCTGGAGGACAGAGAAATCATCTAAGCTTCTTGCAGTTATGCAGGGCTGAAGTGACAAAATTGGAGATTTGAGACTTGGTTCCATCTCAAATCATTTGCTAACTCTCAAAACTGTATAGGGCTGAAAGTTAAAAAGCTAAGCCTTAGGGCTTCCCTGGTGGTGCAGTGGTTGACAGTCCGCCTGCTGATGCAGGGGACGCGGGTTCGTGCCCCAGTCCGGGAGGATCCCACATGCCGCGGAGCGGCTGGGCCGGAGAGCCATGGCTGCTGAGCCTGTGCATCCGGAGCCTGTGCTCCGCGGTGGGAGAGGCCGCAGCAGTGAGAGACCCGAGTACCGCAAAAAAAAAAAAAAGCTAAGCCTTAAGCCCTGTGAAAAGAATAATGGAGTTTCCCATTGTCTTACAATGCAAAAGAGACAAATACTAGAATAGAGGATTCTCCAGGAGTAGAGCCCTAGTGAATACTCTGCTCTCAGTGAACCACAAGCTGACCAAGACTTACCAAAACTTTCACCCACCCTCCATGGGATATAGTAAAGAATCTCACACAGTGACAGAAATGAACTAATAAGGAAACATTTTATGAAATAGGAGAGAAAAGGGACAATTGGTTAAGTGATAACCTTAAGCAGGCAAGGAAAGATGTAAACTAGTGTGAAACAGAGAAGTTGTCCTTAAGCAGAAGCATGTAAAAAAGAAAGTAGAAAAGGCAGAGTATATGGGTGCAAATGCAGGTAGGCTGGTGAATGAAATGGTGGGGACAAGCAGAAATTCTTTTTTCTATTGGGAGGCAGACGTTGGATGCTTGAGGAGAAAGGAGAAAGATAAAATAGTCCTCCAGAGGGGGAGACTGAGTGGAAGGTTGCCAGGCAACACCAAGGGGCTACTTGAAGACGGTGGTCATGAACTCAAGGTAAGTTCAGTCAGCAAATTTGTGTGATAGTCTCCTGCCATATAAAGCTGTGAAGGTGTAGAACAGGCAGAAAGTTAAATTTATAAAACTTAGGTTTTGCTAGGTGAGCAGGATAAAGGAAGAGAGGGCCAAAACAACTGAGGTTATATTACATGCAAGTTGGTGATAATTACGGTGAGCCATGGAATCCAAACTAGATGAAGAGGGAAGTGAGGACATGAGGGGATTAAGGGATAGGAAAAGAGGTGGTAAGATCAATATAATCAGGTGCCAGGAGAGTTGACAATTTGCAAGAGTTAGAGTTCTAGAGTGAGCTGGAAAGATAACAAATGGTGGTCATTAAGCGGGATGCTTGAAATTGAGACTGATAATGACCAAGAACAGGGTATGACCATAGGGTGGATGGCAGAAAGAGTATAGCGTATGTGGATTATTGGAGGAGATTCAAAGAGATGAGAGGGATATTGAAGGTATCACCTACATAGATATTTAAATCACCAAGAACTGTGACAGGAGTAGGCTGAAGAAAGAGACAGTGAAATAGATCCTAAAATCTTTAAGAAATGAGGGAAGCGACACGGGAATGTGTACACGACTGCAACAGGAGTGTGTAATGGGTGATACAATCTGATTCATGGGCCTCAAAGCTGGAGGTGTTTAGAGAGAATAAAGGAACAATGATCTAAAAACACTAATGAGGAACAAGCCTCCAAGCCCAGTGGTCCAACTGCTGGGCGAGGGAATATATTCACATTTGAGAGGACTGCAGTGGAAGCGGTATCCTCAGGGCGGTAATCAGGTTTCAGTTAGAGCAGGAAGGTATAAGTAATGTTCAGAAAGGAATACCCTAATAATTTGATTCCTTTATCAATGTATACTAAAAGGCACTGGATTAGGCACTAGTAATAATAAATAAATAATAATAAATAATAAAACAGTAATAAAGACAATGTCAGCCCTCACAAAACTGTGACTCAAGTAAGAAGTCTCATATAAAAGTGATTACTTTAAAGAATATAACTAAAATTTTATAACAAGCTAACAGTTTTATTAGAATGCATATACTTGAAGAATGATATAACAAAATATGTGATTATTTTAATATAGCTAATCATTGTGGTATTAATTATAATCTAAAAACTAATTCGAATTAAGAATATGTGGGGAAAAGTCATTTTTTAATGTAAAGAAAGAGGGGAAAATGTTAAGTGTATGCTTTTTACAGATATTGTACATGCAGTTACCTGAGACAAAGCAGCATCCCGTTCTTCAATCACTGCATTCATTTCTTCTGCAGTTATTCTCTTTTTACATTCCTTGGTCTTGTAGATTCTATCCACAATTATAGCTCCATTCTTCTGAATAGCTATCCCTGTGTCTGCATTGTTTATTCTGTTCAGTAATTCCTGTAATGTCTACCAACACCATTATATGTTAGTCAGACATGAAGTTTTAATATATTTTATTTAATATAGGGTTTTAATTAATAGGCACATGTGAATTGTAAATTGACTGAGTAAAGTTATTGAATTTTCATATTGCAGCAAAGATGTACATTATTAGTGTGTCAATTCTTCTTTTTCCCACATCTTAGTTCTTGAAACCCACTCAATTGAACTTAAGCCTCTAAGATATAAGACTGACATCAAGAAATCTCCTCAGAGAATGGCTTACCATGTCATTTTCTTCAGGGTTAATATTTTCTAGCCTAGAAAAAAGGGACACAGAAAGCCTGATCAGTAGCATTTCCTTAGTGCAGCAAAATGAGTTCGCTTTTTAAATCTTTAGAACCTCAAGTAATTTCATTCGACTAGTCTTTAGAGTCAACCATGACATTGAACATATTAAAGTGCCACCTGCTCGACTCCATCTTTCAATAATGCTCCATATCTTCTGCACTGACTTCAGACTGTTAAGTTATTAATGTTTACTGCTATATATGACTACAAGGATCAATTGTTCATATGTGCTTAGATGAAGAAAGTTCCCCAGTGATAGAAGTACTCATTCTCATCATTATATTTATTTCTAGACTTTCAATTCTTACCAGAAACTGTATTTCCTATCCTTTTTGGACATTATCACAAATAAAACAAAGCAAGTATTTTTATTACAAAGTTTAACTATGTTCCCTCAAAAGCAATGATAAATAACTACCACTAAATTTGACCTGAAAATCTCCTGGTGCTACCTATTTGTTGAAACAAATACGCTATATAGAAAGGCTGACCAAAATTGGTCACATTTTTAAATGACTAATGTTATTTTCTTTTTTGCATAACATAGAATTATTCAATTTAAAGGCAAAAAAAGTAAACTTGTTCTCTTCATAAATGGACTTTTTGTCTTTTAAGAGTCATAGTGTTTATGTTTGTTGATGTTGGTAAATTGAAATGCAGTTAAAGTAAAGAAAGAAGTTCTAAATGACATATTTAGAAAATGTATATAATATAATTTAGGTAGTCATTAAATTGGGTAGATTAAATGAAAACCTGTAATGGGTACCAGTGAAATGATGGAGATTTTAGAAATGATTTCAATTATTTAAAAATTGTACTTAAAAGCTTAGATATCCAAATTCGTGTTTCAACTTTTCCCCCTCCATTTCTGTGCTCCTGTGATTTAACATTTACCACAAAAAAAGGATACTAGGAAAAGATTACAGAAGACACTTAACAAATTTGTTACAAAATTGTTCCAAACTCCACAGTTCAATCAAACTGCTATAATCATGGAGAGAAAGTATAGATTTTAGAACATTACATTTGCACAGGAAAATATATGAACATTTATCAAAAAAACTATTTCTACCCATATTTAAATGGTGTAAGTCAATAGGTAGGTGTAGTAATTTTGAATTATATCTATTTAATGTTTATCTCAAACTACTAATGTCCCCTTGGATTCACATTCCAATAAGGGCAAATATGTACTCTTATCTTTTTCTCCCACAATAAATCAAGTTTTCAAATATCCTGCTTCATAAAAGCTTAGTCTACAAAAACTATGAGGATAATCACTTCCTTTTTTTTTTCTTTTTTTGGCAGTACGTGGGCCTCTCACTGTTGTGGCCTCTCCCATTGCGGAGCACAGGCTCCAGACGCGCAGGCTCAGCGGCCATGGCTCACGGGCCCAGCCGCTCCGCGGCATGTGGGATCTTCCCAGACTGGGGCACGAACCCATGTCCCCTGCATCGGCAGGCGGACTCTCAACCACTGCACCACCAGGGAAGCCCATCACTTCCTTTTTATTCAATTAAAAAACACAGTGGAAAAGTATAAGATAAAATTCTTCCACTTATTTATGATCATGTAAAAGTATTTGAAGAACATGAGTGGCATTTAACCATCAGTTATTGGTTGGCTAAATATGATTTTTAGGGAAGCCATATGTGGTAAGGAATATTTACCTTAATGTAGTTCTTTTTAGATGAAATCAAACTAAGGTCAATTAATGGCAGTTTCCAAAGAAGTTTCAATATTTATAAACTTCACAATTTATGAAACTTGATCATTTAAAATGTAAAAAGCTACATGGAAATTAAGCATTTAGATTCACAGATTACTGGGAACTTAAAAAAAAATTAGTTCTCAGTATTATGCAACTCCCTTTTTTTGTTTCAAAGAGTTACATATGATCAAAAAGAAAATAACAGTGTAGGTAGGTTAAGTAATTCATATATTCCAAATAATCAACATAACAAAAAGTGCATGAAATTCCTATGTAATATTTATATGTTTTTTTCAGGCAATGCAAAATGAAGAACTATTACTTTAAGGAAAAGCAAATGAAGAGTTTAAATGTTTTAAATTCACAGCTTTCAATAGGAAATGGTTAAGATAACTGTATTTAGTCTAATATTAAATTCCCTGCTAACAACCAAAATTAAAAAAAAATTAAAATCAAATTTTCTTATCAGATGTTATATACTAGATCCTCGGCACATAAATTTAGCATTCTGACCATAAATAACTTATGTGGGGGCTTCCCTGGTGGCACAGTGGTTGAGAGTCCGCCTGCCGATGCAGGGGACATGGGTTCATGCCCCAGTCTGGGAAGATCTCACATGCCGTGGAGTGGCTAGGCCCGTGAGCCATGGCCGTTGAGCCTGCGCGTCCGGAGCCTGTGCTCCGCAATGGGAGAGGCCACAACAGTGAGAGGCCCGCGTACCACAAAAAAATAAAAAACTTATGTGATTGCCCTTAAAAGTACATGATATATAGTGATTTATCATTTTCTGATAAATGAATGTGAATTATGTTTTGGTGAGTGAGTGTGTCAGGTATGACATGCAGGGCATGAGTGAGCCACATCAACCACTTGGCATGTGAATCTCTATTTTGCTTTGTTATTAGCCTTTATAATTGATATAAATATAGTGATAAATGGTCACCGAGAGGAAAATAAAACTTAAAACCTTTTATTATACAGCAGGTTCTTATTTGCTGTACACCTGCAACTAACACAGCATTGTAAATCAACTATACTCCAATAAAAATTAAAAAAATAATAAAAATGCCTATTTAAAAAAAATAAGAGGGACTTCCCTGGTGGCACAGTGGTTAAGAATCATGCAGGGGACACGGGTTCGAGCCCTGGTCCGTGACGATCCCACATGCCGCGGAGCAACTAAGCCCGTGTGCCACAACTACTGAACCTGTGCGCTAGAGCCCGTGAGCCACAACTACTGAAGCACACGTGCCTAGAGCCTGTGCTCAGCAACAAGAGAAGCCACCGCAATGAGAAGTCCATGCACCGCAACAAGAGTAGCCCCTGCTTGCTCGCCACAACTAGAGAAAGCCTGCGTGCAGCAACGAGGACCCAACGCAACCAAAAATAAAATAAATAATTAAAAAGAAAAACTCTTGTACCTAGTAAAGTCTGCCTTTGTAGTGCAAACTCATTCACAGACAATATGTAAATGAACAGGTATGGTTGTGTTTAAATTTGCATTTCTTTAAAAGTTTCAGGAAGTATTTGTCACAGATATCAAAGATCAACTACATAGTAATTTAGTCTCAATTAGATTATATAGAGTAGGGATGAGCAAACTTTTTTTGTAAAGGGTCAGTTAATATTTTAGGCTTTACCATATGTTCTCTGTTGCAGCTACTAAATTCTGCCTTTGAAGAAGAAAATCTATTCATAGACAATATGTAAATGAACAGGTGTGGTTGTATTCAAATAAAACTTTATTTACAAAACAAGTGGAAGGCTGGATTTGCACCATAGGTCCTTACTTTGCTGATCCCTGATACAGAGTATTGAAAAATGAGATCAGATCTTTGATGTTAATACACTGTAAGTGCCAATTCAGTATATTTGACACATTTTTCTGAGGTGGGTCATTTAATATCTAGTTAAAGATAAAAAATCAACAATAGTGGCTTCCAGAAAATTAAATTCAGTCCTACAATAAGGACATTACTTACTATATCACTTAAGAAAACAAAAATTAGACAAACAACTTACCTTTAAGAAAAAGGAAGCAATTTGAAACAGTTATATAAGACACATAATTTTCTATGTAAAATGACTTTTTAGGTTTAAGGTTTACTAGCAGCATGTACAACACATAGTTTTACTAGCTTAATAAAGACAAAGTAATAGTTGGTATTATATGACATACAGCCAACAAACTATACATTATGTATCATTAATATGAAGTTTACAATTAAACAAAAGAATTGCAACCTTTCATAATCTTTAAATTATGCCTACAACAGTCTAACTAGACAGTCATGATAATCAGTAAGAATATTGCTGAAGTAAATGTCCATAGGTTCAAGTTTCAATTGATTTCCTATACCATGCAAATTCTGACTGACAACCTTGCACTCTAAGTGAAAAGACTCATGCATGAAATGTCACATATCTTGATTTATTCCTAAATCAGTCAATATCACATCTTTCCTTTCTGAACCTATAGTCCTTTACCTTGTTCAATGGGAAGAAGCAAAACTTTGACCCCCAAATGATAAAAAGAACAAGTGATCAGCTTATCAAAAAATTCTAAATTGTTTTTTTTCCTAAGTCTCCTTTCTTACACAGTGCCACCTTTAATATAAAAAATACACCAACAATAACAGATTGAAAAATAGATACCATGTTCTCAAAAGTTGGAATGTACCTATGCAAACATGTCTATATTGGCATGCATATGTAAGTCGTTTTAACCTGAATCCTTTTTACTTTTTCCTAGTTTTGGATAAAAGCAAAAGAGACAAAGAAAAAAGCATTAACAATTCAAGAGGTAAGGGAAAGCAGAGAAGCAGCAGAATAATAAGACAAGACAAACATACAGAAAGATGAAAAGTAGATCGGAAGTGGAAAAGATGACGAGAGAAAAAAGAAGGAAGGAATTTCCAGATTATAGGAAGCAAGAAGTAAGGAATTAAAACAAAAAGATGTGAAATAATTTATACAATTTCATCTTATACTCAATGCCTCTAAATATGCCTTTCAGTCAAGCAAAGCTCAGTTATAAATTGGTTCTATCTTAACAAAGATTTAGTCTAAAATGCACTATTGAAGTTCAGAGCCTATAGACTTCAACTGAGTAGAAAAGAGCCTCCACAGTGCCATTTAAAACTGTACTGAAATGCTATTTGTTGCTGTTGTTGTTCTTGCTTCTTCTGTATGATTTTTCCTGATCCCCTCACCTGAACCCCTAGACTGTAATATAGCTGTCTATAAACTTTTCTTAGG